GGTGCCACATGAATTGCAGCGACACACATGCCCCCTGCATACAGCTCACATTACTGACTCACATGCACATACTCTTTCATGTATTCACATACATTCACACAGAACACATATGAATATGCTGTCTCATGCTGAGGCATACTTAATCATGTGCTTGTATAGTCACAGGTATCCACACACAATTACATAAGTGAAAATAGTACCCTTCAGGTGCACTCACTCTTAAATACATATTTTTACATATATACATACACAGATATGTGCACATTCATACTTACGCATGTTCATTTGTACATTTATGACCAGAAATGCACATATTGTGCATGGTCATACACATTTCCCTTTGAGGTTACATGTTCAAATATATTCAAACTAGCATATACATGCCTATGTGCACATTTGCATAAAGAATTCCCACCATGCACATGTGCATACATACTACTGGGACACATAGATGCTGCAGTACACCCTTATGCACACTGATAAGCACACATGTCCAGACAAGCTGGGAGGTTCCCTGTAGCTTCTGGCTTCAGCCCATTCTCTTGTAGACTGGCAGAGAGGCTGCCCAAGGTCAGGAGCCCCTTCCCGCCTTTTCCTCATGCATCCCGGCTCCAGCTTCTCCATTTGTCTGGCTGCCTAGACTCAGAGAAAGTCCCTGGAAAGTTCAGATGAAGGACAAGCGGCCCCCGCCCTCCCCGGGCCTGGAACGGACGAGCGCCCCGCTGCTCTGCTGGCTGCCTGTCTCTGCTCCCGGGTCTGGCAAACGCAGCCAGGCCCTGGGAAGCAGACAGCCCAGCGAAGGGCCTCCAGCTGCTTACGGAGCTGCCAGGCACTCCTGCTGCTCCTGAAGAGCAAGCACAGGCCTGGGAAGCTTCTGACACTGGGACAATGTCCATATGACAGGGGACCCCGGGCACATGGCAGCTCTTTGTGTGGCTGGAGAGGCGGAGAGCCCTGGCCTGGAAGTCAGGGACATGTCGGTTCAGCGACGTTCCCTTTCAGCGCTAACTCCCTGTAACCAAACCTTTCTGATCCTGGTTCCTTGTCAGTAAAATGGGGACGCATTCCCGCCTCAGTTGCTGCGAGGTCTCGGTGAGATGGGGTGTGTGGGGGCCCTGTGCACTGCCTGGCACACGAGCGTGTGATGTGCCCTGATTGCCGCTGTGTTTGGAGTGGTCGGGAAGAGGCCTGAATGGGGAGTGGCCCAAGCAGTTCGGTGGGTGGGATCTAGGGTGGGGGGAGCCGAAGGGAGGGGAGCCCTTGGCCGCTGTACACCGCGCCCATTCCTCGCTCTGTGCCCTTGCTCCCGCGGTGTCACCACTCTAGTCATCAGATTCCCTTCCTGTAGAACAAAGAACTGGCTTAGGCCATTTCTTAAGTCTCTTGCCAGCTGTGAGATTTTGAGTTTTTTTCTCCCCCTAAATCATCTACAAAGCAAATTAAACACATGTAGATAATTAAGAACCCAGTGGGGGAAAAATCACAGTAGTGTGGATGCACAAGCTGGAAAAGGGCAACTCCTCCTTTTGGGATTGAGATTAATAAGTAAGGAGAAACCTGTGTCAGCCATGGACCCCTCCGAAGGCAGTACCTCACTGCTGACCCTTCCTTTCCTGCCTAAAGATCATTGCTCTCCCCCAGGGACGCTCTTCCCTGGGCTCCGCTTGTTGGTTATCTGTTATCACTCTACACCATTTCCCCCTGAGGTGTGCTGAGCCTGGCATGATAGAGACTGGATTTCCGCTTTGGATAGCACTTAGGTTATTGTGTCAGTGTGTTTCCTGGGTCGGGGCAGGCGGGGGCGGGGGGCCCGCCCAGTTTCCTGAGTCTGTGCTCTTTGGCGTTAGGGCACCAGGATGCAGAACACTTGTCTCTGGGCCAGTCCCTGCTCTGTCACTCACTGCTCTGTGATGTGATGTCTCCAAATCTCATGTTCCTCAGCCGTATAATGGAGAACAGAGGGTCTGCCATATTTACTTTATAGACTACAACCAAGTGTTTGGTGAAGTGATCAAGTGAGAGAGTGAGGGTGAAATGTGTTGAAAATTCTAAGTGGCGCTTCCTAAAGATAGCTGGCATTCACCGTGTGTGTGCACTTTGCATCGGGCACTGCACCCAGCACTTTCTATGCTTGATCTCTTAATCCTCTCAGCAGGTCATGTGGTGGATGCTATAGGTACCCCATTTTACAGGCGAGGAAGCTGGCTTAGGCCACCACCTTGCCCAGGTCACAGAGCTGAGCCTCGATTTTGTCTGGGCATGGAACACTGTCGTAGTGCTACCCTCGGCAGGGAGCCCGATGCAGCAGGAGTGGAGTCTGGGTAGGTAGACAGAGGCCTGGGGAAGGGGGAGACTAAGAGGAGTCTTGGCCAAGGTCTCCCAGTGGATCAGTGAGAACTTTGAGGCTTCAGTGTCCAGAGTTTCTATCCTTATCCTCCTCCTCCTCCTCATAACACTCACAGCATTTCCAAAGCATTTACTGTGACAGACACTGCCCTGCACATGCTAACTTGATGAGACCAATATGTTGATTCCTGCTGAGAATTTACAGATGAGGAAACTGAGGCATAAAGTCATGAAGCAAATCAGCTCCTCACATTCAGTGAGTCCAGGTCTATGTGACCCCAGAGCCTGGGCTTTTAATCACCACACAAAATAAGGACAAACTGCTGTTCTTTCTAGAATCGTGTCAAGGAAATAGATGTGTGTGGCTATTTCAGGGAACCAAGTGGGAGAGGTAGGGGAGTGTAGATATGCCCACCTGTCCTCAGGTAGCTGAGTTCTTTACCTGGTGGTCCCTGATGGGGTTTGATAACTATTCACTGTTTTGGAAGAATGGAGGTGTCAACCCTCATTGCTCAAACACTATGAGGGATGCAAATGTCAGTGCACCTCTGATTTGGGAGGGAGAAAAAAAGCAGAGGGCTCATTAGGGGCTTTTACAATCTACCCATTCAAAGTGTGGAAAAACTTGGCTATTTGAGCTGGATACCCAGTGAAAAGCAGCCATGTTTATTCATCGTTGACAGGCAGGATCATCTTCATTTGGAGATAAGGGGCCGCATTTTTTGGGAGTTTGATCAATTGCCCTTTGGAGGTGGGTAGGGTCTACTTGGCTATATCAAGACACTGACAACAGTGTGGTGATGCCCAGAGGGGAAGGGGGCTGGGGGGGCAGAAGAGGGTAAAGGGGGGATAAATGGTGGTGGAAGGAGATTTGATTTGGGTTGTGAACACACAATATGATATACAGATGATATATTATAGAGCTGTACACCTGAAACCTATATCATTTGATTAACCAATGTCACCACAATAACTTCAACAAAAGAGCAAAAGAAAAAAAAAGGTCTCTTTGAAAAAGGATAGATTTTGGACCATTTGCCCCATGACCTACAGAGCTCAGTGATTTTTGCCAGTCTCGGACTGAAAGGTTTGATGTAATCTAATGCTTAAGACCAAATGATGGTTTGAATTGACAGGCAATATATCTGATTTGGTTTATTTATTTTAAAAAGTTATCAAGTACCTGTCATTAAGTCACTGTGCTAGCTGCCTGAGGTTACCACAGGGAGTGAGACATGGTCCTGGACCGCAAAGCTCTTGCATTGCAGGGAGAGAAGGGACAAACGAGCAGATGGCGGTGGTCGCAAGTACTGTTATGGAACTGTCAAGTGTGTCGTGGGAACGGGAAGAAGGAACCCATGCTAGTCTTGGGTCAAGCCCACAGGTGAACTCATACATACGTGTGCACACGTGTTAGAGTGGGAAGGTTTCCTGTGCAGGGCGTCCTCAGGGAGACTTAGAGGAGAAGAGGACAGGGACGGGAAAGGAGGCTGGAGTGGGCGCTCCAGGCATCGACAGAGGCTGCGAACCGGAGGGCATGCCGCCCGGGCTGGGACCCTGAGGCCATCCCCTGTCCTGGAGAGGCAGTGAGAGAGGAGAGAGGAAGCCAGGCAGGATCGGGAAGGGCCTCCTCGGCTTTGCAAAGGAGTTTGGGCTTAATGCCCGAGGCAAGGGGTAGTCCTGGGGGAGGTGTTAGTGCAAGGGGGTGGCTGGTCAGTTTGTCCTTTTGTAGGTTGTGTGAGAAAGAATGGATTGGAGGTGGGGGCCGTGTGAAAGTTGAGAGCCCTTTGCAGTAATGTGAAGAAGCCACGTTGGGATCTGAATCTAGACTAGAGGCGGGGGCGTCCCGAAATGGGTGGTTTAGAGAACGTCAAGGAAGTGACAGCTATTGATTTCTACAGGACTTGGTGACTGGTTTCTTCTTACTCTGCTCATAAAGAGACGGCTTTAAGAGGCCTTAATTATTTTCTCATGGGCCGCTCCCTTCCAAACAAGCACAACTGATTATTTTTGTTTTCAAGGACAGAGAAAAATATTTTAAAGTATCATTGTATTTATTTATAATTACTAATGTAATATTTGCTCCCTGTGGAAATTTGAAAGATACAGGAATGCTGAAAGAAAGAAAATAAAATTATCCATCAGCTGATGATACAGGGATAATTGCTATTAACATTTTAGTATTTTTCCTTTCAGCTTTTTTTGTAGTGTTATTGACTTATTTTAAACTTTTTACTATGAGGCTTTTTAAATACACGCAGAAGTAGAGAGTACAGTAGAATAAACCCAGTATACCCTTTTTAGCCTCTCTGTCCAGTCTTCTGTTATTCTGCAGTTGAATTCGAGCCTTAAAATACAAGCAGGTCTTTATGTTTTATTTTCATCTAAATTCTACCCCACTGATATGATTTTGTTTTTGGAACCCTGGGTGTTTGGCATGTGCAGGCCCTGCTGGCTCTTTGGCTATTTTCAGACGTATGTTCTCACCTAAAACATTGACTAGGACAGTAAAAATGTCTAATCGCTATACCACTGGAGACCTGAAAACCCACTGGATTGCCCACCTCCTTGGGGAAGACCAAAGCAGAGGGTAAATATTTCAGGGAGACAGACATCCCAGCAGGAAATAGCAGCTTGTGTTTTGACTCACTCACCATAGTTGTCTCAGCAATGGAACCAAAGCTGTTGATAAAAATGTTGCAGCTCACATTCACCGGGGGACCTGCCAATCAAGAGAGATCCCTGCTTAGTTCTGCAGTCATGAAGAAGCCTACAGGATAGGAGTCGTTCTTGGAACACTGACTTCAGGGATGGAGACCCCTTGGCGAGGAGGCCCCTGCTTGCCCTCCACCCCACCTCCGAGCATCTGGGACTCCCAGCCACATTGCTGTGCCAGATTTCCTGGTCCCCAGGTGAGCGCCAGGGACAGAGCCCCAAAGTCTGAACAGATATGTACTTGCATTAACACAGGATGATTCATCATCCGCCATATGGTTGAAATCCCTTCCCCAAACCCCATCAGCTGCCTCCTGATTTTTAGCTGAAAAGTATTTACGGCTACAACATTTGGGGGCCATCTTGGGAATCACAAGGAACAGCAAGTTCCTTCCCTTGAACTTGTGAACGAAGAACGATTGCCTGAAAGGGCGTTGATGGGAATTACCAGCTGGGGAGTCCAGAGGAGACCTCAAGGGAAGCCCACAGTGTTTGCTAAACACTTTCTAGGCAGGCTATTTAAATCCTACTGCAAAGGATAAGAAAGAATATTTGCCCATTGGAATCATATTGCTAGAGGGACCCCTGTCCAATTGAAGCTAAATATCTCCATTTTATACTATTAATTATAGCACTTAGCATTTATTGAGCATTACAGTGTTTGCTGCTGGGCTGAGAGTTTTACTAACGTGATCTCATTTCATGCTCTCTCAATGTGGTTATCGCAGTTGAGGAAACAGGCTCAGAGAGGTTATTTGTTCTCAGCCACACAGCCAGTGTGGGGAAAAGCCAGAGTTTGAATTAGGATTTATCTAATTTCAAAGCTGCTGGTCTTAATGGCTGTACTTGTAGACAAGAGGTTCAGGGGAAGGACGTGGCACGCTCTAGGTCGCACAGTGGTAGAATTGAGGATTTTAAGCCCTGGACTTCCCCACGAGCTGACCACAGAGCCAGCCTAAAATAATCAGAGCAGACTGTGAGACCCTGGGGAAGAGTGATACAAGAAGTAGGGGTCCAGGTACAAGAGAAGTCCCAGAAAATAAGGTATTAGGGAAGACCTTGTGAAGGTTATGACCTTGCGCTGACCTCAAAGGTGGATGAGACTTGGAGAAGAGGTCATAATCCTGTACATGAAGATTGCAATGTGCAATTTATGGATGTTTCAGGTCCACCCTCTTGTTGATCCCCATTGAGATTGAGGTAGGCGAGGCAACATGGTTCAGGCAGGGCACCGAGAGTCTTAGCAACTCCTCTGGGCTTATTCAGCCAGCAAGTGGTAGAGCCAGGACTGGAACCCAAGTTTTCTGATTTTGGAAAGAAGGAAGCAGGTGTCCTTGTGTTCTCTTACCAGACCCTCTGTGTCCCTCTTGAAAAAGAAAGGTAGTCCAAGCATTTCACCCAAACTCAGCCAAGATTTCCTTCTTTTCAGAAATCTTGGTGTATCAGGTGGGACTCAGTCTCGTGGTGAGAACACAGGATCCCTGGGTTTTAGACACAGCTCCAGTGTTCATTGGCCAGTTCCCCTCAGGCACGCCCCTTCCTGGTTCTGGGCTGCAGTTTCCCCATCAGCCTGGGAGAGTAGCTCAGTCACCCTGAGCTCCAGTGGTTTGGAATTCCTTTAGGAAGCTAGCCATTCAAATCACAAGGTTATAGGATTTCAGGGCTGGCAGGTTTCTTAAAGGTCACCTGAACTGATGCACAGACAGGGTTGTCTGCAGTGGAGTCAGGGGAACGAGTTAAACTGCAGATTCCTTGGCCGGCCCCAGAGGTAGAGGACCCAAGCCTCGGGAGGTTAGCCCAGGATCTCTATTTTAATGAGCTCCCTGGTGATTCTTGTGCACAACCAGGTTTAGGAACCGCTGCTACAGACCAGCCGCCTGTTCAGAGCTCAGTGCCTGAACAGCTCCAGTAGTGGGGAATGTTTCATATTTTGCTGTGTATAATGAGCACCCACATTCTTGGCCCAAACTTTCAGGGGAAAAAAAAAGTCCTTCATTTTACTTTTTAATTCAATTATTTATTTATTTATTTATTTATAATTAGAAACAAAACCGGTTATATTTAAAACCAGGGGATTACTTTGCATAGGGATATTGTTATTGCTTTCTAGAGTTACACTTTTAATGCATAAGCATAAATAAAAGGATTAAACACATATAGACATGGAATTAATACTACCCATGTATAAAGTGCATCCTTATTTTTTCCTCAAAAATTTCGGCAAAATAGTATGCATTATACATGGCAAAATACAGGTGTTTCATCTCGGGCTGTCCTCTCCATAGTTGATAGCTTTGTCTGATAAAAATTTTTTCTAATGCTTTGTGGAGACCCGCCTCCTTGTCACTTCCACCTAAACAAAGGCCCATTAAGTTCTTTTCTCTCATTAAAATTCACACCCGGGTTTTTCCTTTCATTTAGCCTCATACTATTAAGATGCCCCAAAGAGTTACTGCCTGTGCCTTGAATGATGTGCACAGGGTCCCCACCCAGCCCCTGCGCGTGTCTGGTGCTGTGACTCCCCTATAAATTAGGCCCTGATTTATGTGTGCGAGAGGGCGCCAGCCGAAAGGACCCCTGGGGAGGTGAGATTCATTGACATAAATCTGAAATTAAATTATCCTCAAGAAAATTACAATCTGGCTGCCTTTGGCAGCAGGATAATGTATATATTTCATTAAATATTAAAGTTTAATTTTGCTTTTGTGTGTATGTGTTTGCATTGGGCTGTGCCCCTGATCCTAGGAACCATTATCCTGCACAGAGTCTCAGAGAAGATACAGAAAATCAGAACTGGAAGGGCCTCGTCCTCCTGGATCATTTAACGGATGCAAGAACAGAGGCCCAGCTACGTCAAGAGTTTACTCTGGGTCACATGTATCGGGTAAGTAGCAGAGTTTTAGAATCAAATTTTAGTGCTCTTTTTCTTCCCAGTTACAATGCGCACTGCCACTGCGTTCCCCAGACAGAGCCTGCTGCTCCCAGCCACCCTTACCTTCAGGAGAGCCGGGAGCCGGGAAATCTCTGGTGCTTGAAGAAAACCACGGAGTGGTTAATCACTCTGGAGTTTTCAAAGAATGTAGGCCTCTTCCTGTTGCATTGAGGTCACAGGGGCCTTATCAGGAGCCCTGTGGTTTGTGTGGGGCTCTGGGGAATCTTATCCCTGTCTGAGCAGAAGTGCGATGCGACTAGGGGCTCAGGGGGAAGAAGTCCCCTCCGCTAATGTTTCAGCGGAGAAACCTTGCTTCCCAGCAGCAGGGCGGGGCTCCAGGAGGCTGCAGGCACTCAGAGCCTGACTCGGAGGGGACTGAAGGGGCTCGGGACAGTGTGGGGTTGAGAGGGGAGTAGGTTTGCTGGTTCTGTAGGTTTTGGGCCCAAGTGTTCAGAGTAAGGTTGTCAGAGTGGGGAGAGGAAGGGTCCTGATTCAACGGTTTCATAGCCTGGGTGAAATTTTCTTTAAGTTGTTCCCTGCCAAGTAAGTCAGTCGATACATACATAAATGTACAAACTAAACAAATAAATACATACTAGCCTTAGATGAAGAACTGAGTCAGAGAACTTAGCTGGGTTAAAGTCCCCGCAGCCTTGGCGGCATGATGGGGGCGTCATCCAACTGCTCCAAGCCTTCGCGCAATTGTTGATTCATTTGCTCACTCTTTCCTTTATAAAAGGTTGATTGAGGGCCTTTTATGTGCCATCTGCAAGTGCGTGCACAAAGGATAGGTAACACGTGAACCCTGGAGGTGTGCGCGTTCTCCTTTGTCACGAGAGCAAGACCAGGGTACTCGGGGGGAGTTCTGAGAGAGCCCACCAGGGGGCGTGGTGGGCTGGAATGCCTGAAACTGGACGCAGCCTGGTTTGGGGACCGGCCGGGCTGCAACCTGGTGGGCTGTTCTTGAACGTACTTGATTTAGCCAATGGTGTTGGTAGAGGATGAGATTTAACTGCCAACTTAGAAGATTTCACAAAACCCCAGGCTTGTCTACTCTTGTGTTTCTACTGGGCAGCTACCACTGGAGCTGAGAAGTAGCTGCCTTTAGACTAGCCCTGTGTTTTCTCATCTTCCTCCTGCTTCATTCATGTGCCATAGCTGCCTGGTCCCTCCAGGTGTTTGATATTGTGACCCCAGCGAAGGGCTTGGGCCCAGTGGGCTCTGACAGCAGCCTTGGTCCTGGCTTACCTGTCCTTGAGGGGACCAAGGTTTATGCTAATGATGCCGGAAGGTGTGGCCTCAGGAGCCAGGTGCTGGGGGAGTGAAGGAGCCTCGAGTTAAACAGGTGGGAGGCGGGCCCAAACACACCTCAGAGCGTCTCCCAGACTGTTTTCTCTGTGCAGAGCACTCCGAGAAGGGGCGTACAGCGAACAAATGTTAGGAAGCCATCACCAGCTGTCACGTCCCTTGTTTGGCTTTGGACCTGAGCCAAAAGGAGCAGTGAGGCAGGGCATCTGGACTCAGGACTGACTAGGGGCTGGCAGTGGGTCCTGGAGATGAGATTTTTGCCGGGGTGCTGGGAGGAAGGCCGGAGTGCACAGGCTCCCAGGGAGGCCGGGGGTTGCACCTGCGGAGTCCGCTCAGCAGCCTGAGATGGTGACAGCCTCCCCAGGCCCCGGTGCACAGTGGGAAATGGTCCCTCTTATTGTAGATGTTGAGAACTCATAGCACCATCAGGACTCAAAGAAACTCCTTAGACCACTTCGGTGAGAGCTTGCAAACTGGCTCCCCGCAAGGCACATTTGGCTTACAAATATGTACTGTTTCAATATACATATCTTAGGAATCAGGAAATTTTGCATTAATGTTCATTTCTGGCTCCCCTTGGAATACTGTGGAATACTGGATGACCTGGCAACATGGGGCTTACATTGCTTTTGGGTACCTATGGGCTGGGGCGAAGGAGGGCCTGTGCCCTTTAGAGGGCCTGCACCTCTGTTTCTCCACAGTCTCCACCCCTTCCTATTGCCTTACTCCTGGCTCCCCTCGCTCATTTAGGTTGCCTGCCTAATTCCTGTAGGCATTTGAAACTGTGACTCTTACTTAGACTAGAAAGTTTCAAAATTATTTGTTAATCCCTGAGAACCTTTCAGGAGATGAATTTTAGTTGAAAGCCTTTTACCTAAAACAAATAAAAGTAGAGTTGCTTTGGAGAGAAGCAGGTGAGCTTGCTGATTGTGTTCTCTGCCTCTCCCTTTTGGGACACATGAAGGGAGCCCTAGAGCATCCATGAAGTTTAAAGACCATAGATATAGACAACTTCATCACTGCAGAGATGAGGAAACTGAGGCCCAGAGAAGGGAAGAGGGTTATCAGAGTTCAGAGGATAAGTGTGTGCCCAAACCAAAACTTGAACCCATTCCTTTACATTCCATGTTGTCTGTCAGTCATACAAGAGGTAGAAAATAGGCTCTAATTCATATACTGACTCCTGGCAACCAGAGGTATTGTTTGGTTGGACTTGGTGGGGGAGCAGACTGAGTTGATTAACAATGTCTGCCTAGGGCAGAGGAAAGAGTCATGAAATTCCTACCACGTATTTACCATCTGCACCCAATACATGCTGTTTGCTTCTTAATCTAGGAAAGCAGGTGCCTGGGGATCTGGAAGGAATGTTTTCTCTACCTTTAAAATTGGGCCTGATCCTGGCATCATATCCAGAGGTTCTCCCCATGAGCTTATCCAGGAAGTCCGAGGGAGACATAGGCTTGGGTGCGGAGCGGGCAGCTTCAGCCTCCTTAGAAGCAGCAAGGCTGAGAAGGGAGAGAGGAAAGCAGAGGGTTAATGATGGCCCTTTCACATGCTGTGGTCAGATCCCAGACTTGCCCAGCCCTTGTAGAATGCTAGAGTGTTCTCAGCCTGAGAAACGGGGTAATACTGGTCCTTGATGAGGTAAGGCCTAGGCTGCAGCCCAAATATCAGCCAACGTGGGACCCTGGCAGGTAGCCGAGTGTCTGATTGCTGCTGAGAAGCTGCTGATCTTTTAAGGTTGCATCTCTGGGGATTAGACGCTTGGCTGCTGGTCTCCCTGGGAGAGGAGATTGAAGGGTTAAACTCCCGCTAGGCCCAGCCCTGTGTTTTGGGTGACTGTGCCCTCCTAGGTCTGGGAACAGCACCGCAGGAAAGAATCTTAGCAATCAAGTAGCCGAGGTTTTCCCCAAAGTTTCTCTTCAGAATCAGTCACTAGTTAAAAGAAAGAAGAGTTGCATTTGGGAACACAAATTCAATTAAGCACCTTTACCTGAGGACTTCTCAGAACCTTTAACCAGCTTTGATGCTGTGCTTAGGGATTACTATCTCATGAAACACGAGAAAATACTTGTTCGGAGAAGAGGGGCACAGCTGGCGGAAGGGACCGATCCCCATTCCCACTCACCAAAGTGGCTTCAGGCTCTTATTCACACCGTAGTGTGAATTACTGATGTCTAAGAACACGAAGATTTCTAGAAGAGTCAAAATGGGCAGATGAAGGGTTGAAGAACAATCATTTGGGTTGCTTTGTGCAAGTGAGCGTTGCTCGTCCTGAGATGACACCCAGGAGAGAGCTGGGAGCTGGTGCAGCCTGCCGTGTATGCGGAGGGGCTGGTGCGTCAGAGGAAGAGCGTAGATAGGAACATGTGCCTGTGTGTTGTCAAGTAGGACATCGTGTTCCCGTTCTTGAGGGCTGGAGCTGCCAAGCCACCTTGTGTCCTCACTCCCTGTCCTCTCACACCCTCACTCAGCAGGTCCTGGCCGTGCTACCTCGTACTATAGTCCCTTGTGTTGTGTTTTAAGGCCAGGAGTCATGGTGGTGTTTTTATTTGTTGTTTGTCCTTTTAATCTCCTACTGTGCCTACCGTGGTGTTTCAAATGTAAGTGGTGCCCAGTAGTTGCACAGTGAATGAATGAATGAATGATATGTTCCTTAATTAATCAAATATCCTGGTGAGTAGGGTATTTTTAAATATGCATGTATGGAGCAACAGTTTAAAAATAATTAGACTATTATGCCCACTAATGAAAAAATACTGAAAACAACTTGGTATTCCTTTGAAGATTCCAAAGGTATTCCAGGATTATTTAGATACTCATGCTTAATAACCTGAAGGTCCCTTATTCATAAACTGGAGAGCTAGTTTTGATTGACAGGATGAGGGACAAACGCATTTTAGTGTTTTTATTCGTGTGACTGTGGATGTTTGAGTTTGCGTGAGGTGGGTAGGTTTCCAGGTATGGTATGTATGCCTGTTCTGTGTACACGTGGGTGGATGTGTATGGATGTGTGGGGACTGGGGTGTGCATGGGGGTGTTTGTGGATGAATAGTGGATCATGTTCCATAGATTTGCATGTGCAAAAAAGTGAATACCTGGGTTCATGGGAAAGTAACTGTGACATCAGTGTGGGCATTTTTGTGTGTATATGTGGGTTGTGTGTCTACATGGGGTGTAGGGTGTGACTCTGTAAGATGACTGTGAGTGTATGTATGTGGTGTGTATATCGCGTGTGTGTTCCTGAAATGTGTTGTGAGATGTAAAAGAGAACCGATGATTTGGAACCAATGCTGTCTCATACTAGCAGTGTGACCTTGGGGAAGTTACTTAACCCCTCTGAACGTCAGTTGGCTCATATGTCAAATTAGTTTTACACAAGGAGTAACTGAGATAGCACAGGTGGGAAAAAACCCACCTAGGACAGTTCTTGGAACAGAGCAGACAGTCAATATATTGTCTTGCTCTCGCCTTGCTCTGAGTGTGTGTATGAAGTAGTTCAGAACCAGTCCAGGGACTTCTTCTGGTCCCACTGTGCTTTCAGCTGCACCAGGGACCCCTCACGGCTGGGAAGTCCTGCCAGGAGCCCCGCATGGCCCACAGGTAGCAGGCGCCACATCCCCAGCCTTTTCTCCATTCAGCACCAGACTTGTGGTGGCTCTGCAGCCCTGGTGTGAGCCAAGGGGACCACAGGCACGCAACTGGTGATTCACGACTTCTCTGCTGCTGTAATTCACTTCTAGAACCTCTCCAGGAGTGGCAGTGATGAAGCTTTCATAAGCTCCTGTCCTCCGTCCAGTCCCTCCTCTCAGATAATGAGATTTGGGAACGCTGTACTCCCTCCCAGCAGTTACTAGAGCAGGAGCCATCTCTTGGCCCTAAGGCCTCTTTCATAAGCCTGAATCCTATTAGCTCGTGCAGTGAGAGTATGAATTTGCCCCAAATTATCCCTTACCATTTGCTATTAGCAAAAAGTGCCATTTAATGCCTGAATCCTCCCCCAAGCTGAAGAGTCCTCTGGTTATCCGAACTCGTGTGTCTGCAGCCAGGCATTGCGTCTGGTCAGCTGGCCATTGACTCACTGCAAACCCTGGCAGGGTGAGCCGGACTGGAGGGTGGAGACTGGGAGGTTAGGAAATTGGCCTCATGTCACAGAGCACTTCAGTGTCAGAAGGAATTAGAACATGTATTTTCAGGTGTTGACTTACTCCGTGCTCCCGAGTGTGGGAAAGCCTTTTCTAAATGGCCAAAAGTGTAAATCATGATAGCTGCTATTATTGCTAATTGTTTTTGAAGCTTGTTATGTTCTGTTACATCCAAGAACATCAAAACATGAATCTCATTTCTAGCAATCCTGATATACACAGCTCTGAACTTGTCATCTCAAAATGGAGAAGAAATAGTTATGAATTACTAAATGACCCTCTGTTTTGCCGCGTGATCGGCAGTAGAATTCTCTGAAACTCTGAGATTCTCTCAGCCAGACTCTCCTGTGTGTCATGTATGAATGGCTTCTGAATTGCCTTGTTTCTTTGCAACTAACCCTTCTACAAAAGGGAGTCTGTTCTGTGACTCACAAATGACAAACCAGTGTGACTTGCTATAACAGAGATAATCATGATAGTGAATACAATGAAAAAAAAAAAAAACCCAAACAAACCACAACGAGAAGAGGAGTTTGAAATTCTGTGTAAATGCTGTTGATCGCCAGCAGGACCACCATAAGTTCCAGAGGTAGACCGCCGGTGCTGGGAGGTGTGAGAGACGTATTAACCCCGGAGACTTTCTCCTTGCACTAATGAGAAGAACTGACTCAACAAGCCATTGTTACTGGGTATGAACCACCTAAAATCGTTCCCATCTCTTACTGCCCTAGTCCAAAATTTCCCTATTTTTCTTTTTTTGTGAAATACAAAGACTCCATTTTAATGCCAAAATAGCCATGCCCCCACCCCCCCCCATTTGACAATCATGGTACATTTCTGCCTATATTTAGATATTTTGCGCAGAGCTCGTTCAAGGCCCCCCGTAGTAAATCTGCACGCTGGTGCAGAGCAAACGGGCATTGACAGCTCCTCGCCACGCAGCTAGAACCACTGCCTCTGCCGAACGCAAACATCTGCTGATAGACGCGGAGCTGCTGGACGGAGAAGCTAGGAATGGCGCCGAGACGCGACACATTTGGTGGTTAGGATCTGCTGACCCTGGACAAGTGTTTGGACGTGGTGCAAATTGTTTCAGGGATTATTGCAATGCCATGGAGTGAATCAGACTTGGTTTAGATGGATTTGATGAAAAGTGATTTCCAGGAAGACAGTGGGGTCTCCTGGGACCAAGTGTCCTGCTTATGACGATAGCTGACTGGGTGGAGTGTTGAATCACCTTCACCTTTTCGTGAGGGGATCTGTCACACTAGGAGGCTTCGGCACTTAAAGGACCTCAGCTTTGACCCCTCATGACGGAGACCCGGGAGGGGCCCGGGCGGGGGTTCCGCGGTGGGGGTGGAGGCAGGGTCGCATAGTGCAGTGGGTGCTGCGTGGCCTTCTTTGAGCTACTCCCCGTTTTGCTTTCAGTTTCCCAACTTATCAAACGAAGGGTTTAGAAGAATCTCTAAGAGTCCTTTTGCCCCTTAATCATTTTATTAGCCTGTAATATGCTTTCTTTTTAAGTCATCTGATTTTGGCATCTGAATTTGTCTGGACTCCTTTGAGGGAATGTGAGTGTGTTCATGTCTTGGTTCTTCCCCATCCAGTCTCAAGATTTCTCCCCAGTGGAGCAACTCGCTCTCCAGGGATTTTTGAAAGAAAGGCCAGATCGATGCTCAGATTCTCGTTCTCCAGGTGCAACATCAGTTGGAAATAGGGAATCAGTATGGAGCTGTCAATCCGAATTTCAAATGAGCTGGGGGTGGCAGTGGTCCTGGGGAGAAACGGTTTCAATCACACCCTGCATGGCAGCCCCCAAGAACCATTCTGGGTCAGCAGAGGGGGTCCATTCGCTCAGATTCCATCTCAGTTCACCATGGGCCGAGAAGTCAGGTGTAGGAAAAGGGGGGAAAGTCAGGTGAGGGGAGAAGACAGAGAGGATGAGGAGAACCATGGGAGGGACATGCAGGGCTGGGGAGGAAGCTGGAGGTGCTGACTGAGAAGGGAAGGGCGATGCGGGTGGGGTGGGGAGAGGGAGAGGCGAGTGTGGAAGTGGAGGGGCTTGAGGTACGGCCAGAGTTACACTTGAGGAATTCAGTGACGACAGAGGATGGGAGCCCAACTGCACTTGGTGGAGGGGCGCGGGTTTCCAAGAGGCTCATGGAGGAAGTGGCTTTTTGCAGTAAAACTTGAAGGTTGGGTGTGGAGTTGCCCTGGAAGAAATAGGGCAGAAGAGTGTTTTGGGTAGAAGAAACAGCATGTGTAAAGTCTAGAGGTGAGAGGAGATGTGGAGAGCTGAAGGTTGAGTGTGCATATGAGGAAGGGAAGGAGGGAGAGAAGGAAAGCATGAGAGAGAGAGA